GCAGGATGACGATATTGACCATGAGAGGTCAGATACTATGAAAATCAGTGAAAGGCAGTACGTTTACACTTACCAGGAGAGGCCAGGTACTCTTGAGGCAGGAAGACGATATTGACCATGAGATGTCAGGTACTGTGAGGCAGGAAGTCGATATTGACCATGAGAGGTCAGGTACTGTGAAAAGGAATTTTCTTCACCCTAAATGTTTTTTTTTATTTTTGTTTATATATTTATATATACGTCCGTCCTGCCTTTCACGTTTACACTGACCATGAGATGTCAGGTACTGTGAGGCAGGAAGTCGGAAACACGGAACTTCTTTTAAGTTGCAAAACAAGACGCAGTGAAACGTCCTCTGTATGTTAGGTTGGAAGAATATTCGTTTTAAGGTTTTACATTTGTAATGAAATAATTTAATTTTCCGTATATAATACAAAAGATATTCCATGTGTCTCGCGAAACATCATGTCTCTCTTATCTCGTGAACAGGGAATATTTTCACTCGTGGCTACTCGTTGCGAGAAGCATGATACTTCACTCGACACTTGAAATAGCTTTTATTTCTTTATGTAAATACACAAAGTTCATGACATTTTGCTTACTATGTCACTATTTATTCAAGTAACCCACATTCGTATACAATTCCAAAGCTGTCCATCCTGACACGTGAACTGTTTTGTTTGTTATCACTCATAAATGTACTTTTATATACTTGCAAGCACTTTTTTATACTTGCATGCACTTTAAGATTGCATGTAATCTATTCTGTAAACATAATGTTTGTGCACTCTAAACAGAAATAAAAGGATAAAAGAAAGATATATAACAGAATTTTCTAAAATTGATACAGTAGTCTGGGTATCTAATTTCCGAAATCAGGGAAAACGATACAGTCAGGACGAAATTTAGGGTTGTTTATGCCTCAACTCTTTATGAACCTTCTCAAAATCTTCAAGAGACCAGTGCGCGAAATAGGACCATGGTGGTACCAGTATCAATTCAAATTGTACGAGCGCTTCAAATCCAAATTCCAGCGTCCCTTGTTCAACGTTATTGAGTAATAGTGAGTGAGTGAGTATCGTTTTACGGCGTTTTCAGCAACATTCCAGCAATATCACAGAAAGAGACACCAGAATTGGGTTTCATACATTATACTCATGTCGGGAATCGATCCCGGCCTTCGGCGTGACGAGCAAACGCTTCACCAACAAGGCTACCCCGCCGCCACTATTGAGTATTAAATAACGAGCGAGTGACGAGGTTTTTACGCGTCTTGCGGCAATATTCCAGTCATATCACGGAGGGAAAATCAAGAACAGGCTTCACACAGAATACTTATGCGCTGAATCGAACACAAGGCTTTGGATTAACGAGCAAGCACTTTAGCAACTGTGCCAGACAGGTGACGAATAGCACATCTTGTCTTAATGACGTGCAACCATGAATGCAAGAGCACGTTTAGTGAGGCGCTGGGTAATGCATTGCTAATTACTTAATGATTATTGCAGCTAGTCTGTCGTGAATAATCAATATGTCAGTAACAGTGACATTAAAGCGATTACGATTTCTTATACGTGCTTTCGAATACTAGTAGTAACACAAAGCTGTCGTTATTCAACACCTCGTGGGAACTTTTTCATTTGAATAAATCGTTCTTTTCGCGCATGCGCCGTGTGCCGCTGGGATCAGCTCGCTATGGTGATAATGAAAGCAAAGCCAGTGACTGATGAAGACAATGTTTGGCAGGTTTACACAAATAAACTTTGTTTGACATTGAAAGAAACGACCACCAGCCAAGGGAAATGTTGCTTCTGTAATGTTTGACACGCAATCTTCTTACATTTTTGCCATAGAGTCACCTGATAATGAGGGACTGTTTGTATGACATCTATGTAATATCGATCATATCGATATGTTTGACAACTACATGTAGGCAATGTCGGTCAGCAATATGACAACTGTCACATCGGCTAGCAATTTGACAGCTGTGTGACATCGACCAGCTATAAGATCGTTACAGCATATCAGTCAGGAATGTGACAGTTATGTAATACTATATTCCAGTATATTCCAGCAATATTCCAGTTATGTGATATCTTCCAGCAATATGCCAGTTTCATAATATCTTCCAGCAATATGCAAGTTATATATCTTCAAGCAATATGCCAGTTTTATAATATCTTCAAGCAATATGCCAGTTATATATCTTCAAGCAATATGCCAGTTATATAATATTTTCAAGCAATATGCCAGTTATAAAATATCTTCAAAAAATATGCCAGTTTTATGATATCTTCAAGCAATATGCCAGTTATGTACTACCTTCCAACAATGTGACAGTTTAATAATATCTTCCAACAATGTGACAGTTATGTAATATATTCCAGCAGTATGCCAGTTATATATCTTCAAGCAATATGCTAGTTATATAATATTTTCAAGCAATATGCCAGTTACCAAATATCTTCAAGAAAAATGCCAGTTTTATGATATCTTCAAGCAATATGCCAGTTATGTACTACTTTCCAACAATGTGACAGTTTTATAATATCTTCAAACAATGTGACAGTTATGTAATATATTCCAACAGTATGCCAGTTATATATCTTCAAGCAATATGCCAGTTATTTGCTACCTTCCAACAATGTGACAGTTATGTAATATCTTCCAGCAATATGTCAGTTATATATTTTCAAGCAATATGCCAGTTATGTACTACCTTCCACCAATGTGACAGTTTTATTATATCTTCCAACAATGTGACAGTTATGTCATGTATTTCAGCAATTTGACAGTTACGTAATATCTTCCTTTAATGTTACAATTATGTAATATATTCCAGCAATACGACAGGTATGTAATATATTCCAGCAATGTGACAGTTAAGTAAGATATTCCAGCAATGTGACAGGCAATCCGTAAGATTGCCCCGGATATGGACCAAACCTGTCCTGCCATGATGAGAGATAGCCGCCCACATCATAACGCTACCCCCACCTAACCTGTCCTCTTCCTGTACGCAGTTTCCGGCGTAACGTTCTCCCCGACGTCTGTAGACCCGTGCTCTTCCATCCCCTCGACGGAGGCGAAATCTTGATTCGTCGCTGAACCAGACATCTCTCCTTCGCAGTTAAAAAAATCCCTGCACTTTAATACCGTTCATAGTGCTGCTGCACGTACAGTACGTGCAGTTCCATGGCCATTTTGTTAATGCACTTGGTGCGTTTTTCCGAATGGTACGTGTTTCCCGACTCATGGTTCGCATGTCCTTGTGATCATTTTATCCGGGAAAATTGTCACTGACACTATAACACATTAAACCTCTTCATTGGTCCGGTAATGTTGCTTTTATAGCAAAATATATCCGTATTGCGTTTCATTTTTTGAAGAGTATATGTAAAGTCAACGCCTGAGAATAATCAGTTTCGACTATTCGAGGAAACAGAATCCGCAGGGCGTAAAAGGCGAAACAGCTGTGAAAAACACACGAACGAATCACGGTAAATCAGTGATGACACCAGGTGTTCTCGGAAAGGTTAAGCATGTTCGCGTAAAGATCGAACAGCAATATTACATTTACAGATGAGGGTGTGTATTCTGTTGCGTACTCTTAACGAGGCTCAGGTGTACGGAGATAGATGTAATCAATTATGAGAAATATTTTGTTGGTATTGACGTCACTGCTACAGCTCCGGCCGGCCTCTCTCCCTCAGATATTAGCAACAGCTCCTACCACGGCCGCTTAGGGGGTGTGAACTTTACCGCACATGTGAGATTGCTTCCAATATCACAGCTCAGGTGGGCAAGGCCCAAATCCGGCTTAACTGACGCCCGTGTATGTGTGTTGCACATGCAATATAAAAACAAGTTCTGGGTTGTAAGTGTAATCAGAATGCATTGCCTTTGTCGCGTTTGTTTATCCTGGTATACAAACGGTGACAAAATAACCTGATTGTGAGATACCAGTGTTGAATGACATTTTGTCTGGCTAAGACGTGTTTCTGGTTAAAACAGAACCTTTCAAGAAGTGTCTGATAGACTACCTCAGTTAGCGTTATTGTTTACAACGCACAAGTGTTAAGTTCGGCAGTCATTCACACACACGCGAGACAGAGTAACTGATTGCTATGTGAAGGTGTAAGCCCCTGCTCTCATAGGTAACACATACGTTAGTCTGCTAAAGTACTTTCACAAGCAGTTCCCATCATATTGCATCTGGCTTATGCATCGTCATTGTGTTGGCATCAAGAGGATCTAGCTAAGGTATGTTCCAGCGGGATCCGATTGGTAGAGTACAACTTAAACTAAGATGAGGACCTTGGGCAACAATATAGAACAGGGTATATAACGGTAACAGGATATGTAGGTCAACTGTATGCCAGACAATACAGAACAAATTTTTTGAAGTAAGGGAACGATCTTGGCTGACAATGTAGAAAGAAGGTGCTTCATTGAAATGATAGAACGACTTTCCCTTGCAATATAGAACATGCTTTTTAGTACTGACGATCCTGGCTGTCGTAGAACATGCCTTTATAGTACTTTGTCTGTTTGTTTGTTTGTTGTTTAACGCGACACTCAGCAATATTCCAGCTATATGACGGCGGTCTGTAAATAATCGAGTCTGGGGCAGATAATCCACTGATTGACATCATGAACATCGATCGACGTCATTGGGATACGAAGACATGCATGAACCGAGTCAGCGAGCCTGACCACCCGATCCACCCGATCCACCCGATCCCGAGTACGAGTAGTGATAGGGCGATCTTGGATGAAATAATAGTACATGTGGTTTGTGGGATTCTATAGCAACATGTGTAGATGTTGAATATGTTTTCGCCAACTTGATATAAGCTGGCATCAAGACACCTCCTTCCTCCATAACCTCTACTCCGGGATGTACGACATACAAAACGCAATACGGCTCCAAATTCTTCTACATTAAAACACAACCCATCAACACGGAACATCACAAACAATACGAAACGCAACTAGTGTCATATTAGGCGAATACTTTATTTTCAAAATCATTCAGTCAAATATCATGTACTTATACAACCAGTTCTATCGTACATATCAGAGTATATCAATCATATAAAAACAAGTGAACAACGGGGTAGGTCAGGTCTACGTGTATGGAGGAGCGTGTTCTACAGCAATGGCCTGCTGACAGCAACAGAAACCCCTACCACGGATGACTATAATGGCGTCTTTCGCAGTCCACTTCCTTCGTGAAACCCATGTTGCTGCAGTAGTATAAGAAATATTGAGCAACAGGTTTTGACAAAGATAACTGACAAGGCAAGGTTCCACATGCAATTAAACCCCGTTTTATCCAGATGTTCCCAAATGATCATCCGGACTGACGCATGTCCGGGTAACAAGTCACTGGTGTAATGTCTCTCTGTATAATGTATAGTAACCGTCATGGTGGTGGTTGGGGGGTCCTGACTAACAGGTTCTGGATAAACGGGGTTTCACTGTATTTCTCTATCCGGGCAGGGCATATAACCAAGTCAGCTTATGAACACAAGTAAGTACGACATTTTGGGGGGTACGGATTTTGATCGAGGAATATTTGGTCGGTAGGTCGAAAATAAAATAAAATATTCATTGTCCAAATTTTTTACTCATCTTAAAGTTCGGTTTAGATCGGTTGGTGATGAAATAATTATGACGATTTATACTTGGAACAACATCTGCTTTAGTCACCTTGGATTATTTTTAATGTCAAATCAATCTTTATCGTCGGCGGTATTAAAAAACCTTGCCATTGTGATTATATAATTTTCTGAATTTTCGGTGAATTGTCGGAGGATTCGTAAACCAAACAGAAAATGTAAGGTCTAATGTATGTTTAATAGAGACAACGAATTAATATATATACCTTGCTCAACCACTGAAATTTGCTGGTGTGCAGGCGTTGTACATAATCGAGATTGACATAATGATTTTAAGAAATAATTTGATATTTTTGGCATTTGTATTTCAAAGTGTTTAACAAATAACAGAGCAGCGGCATAACTACTAACTAAATTATGGGGTCGGCATTACGGTAGCAGTGATCTCTCTTTATCCGCTCAGATTAAAAGATCAAGCAAAATTTTCAAATAACATTTAACGGCAACTAAGATCTATTGGGTGTAATAAAGAGCCCAAATGTACATATAGATGAAGTAATTGGTGCATTGTACTAGATTATAAAGAATATATAATATCTTGTTGAGGTCAGAATAGGCTTATTTCCAGTTAGTAAACTTTGAGCTGAAGAGTCGATAATGAGATGTGATTATACGTTTGTTCCGTGTGATGAAATTCAGAAATACCAAAAGCTCCATTTAATTGTCTATTTACAACAAAACAGTTTGAAATCATGGTGAAAACAACTTTATCAAAAATGCAACAATTACTGAAAGTTCGAATTTACAAAGTTGCAAAATCACGGCATGTTATATTTAAACTATTCTTTAACGAAAATCAAACAAACGGTTCGCCATCTAAGGGAGGTAACTCAGGGAGCATTAGTGGCTCTCATTCAATTCGTACACTAAATTTTAACCTTTTGCCTGATACAGAAATAACCCGTTATGACTAAGAGGTTTATTTATAACACAAAGTGAATGGCTTCAGTACCCGAAACCAGTTTCCTTACATGAGGGCTGTTTATTTTTAGATTGTCTATTTTGTTGTGACTACACTACTTTATTATAATCAACATTATATTCCATCTTCCCTCTATAAACTTAATGCGGTACGGTGTTCCTGGATTAACGATTAAACAACACGTCCCAGAAATAAATAAACACATTTATCACAGTAAGATTATTATGGTTAACAGTAAATAAAATCAACAGTACATAGGTTTGACTGAATAATTCAGTTTTAAACCAGACAAGAAATTAAAATAGAGGAACCGTGTTCTAAAGCGGAGAACGTAAATGAAATCAAAGATTTCATGTCGATTAATACATACAGGGTTGTTGATTAATTTTGCTTAATAGGGTTGTATCTAGGTACGTGCTGAAAAAACACTATATCAGTTACTCTAGGGGACTTGTCTATATACACACATCTTGTCACGGTCAGTTGCATATTGAGTGAAATGTACATGCAATATCGTCTCTTGAGTCACACAAAACAGTGGAGAACACATGAAATGACATGACATCAATCAGTAGAGCTACTACGAAAACATCGACCCGTTCTTCTGGTAAACATGGCTAAGAAAAAATTACATTCCCACCGATATGAATACACATGGTATACTTAGTATCTAATACCGTTATTCCACGCTGTGACAACACGGTTTTACGCCGGTATTTTTGTAATAGCCAAACCTTATCACTGTGGAGCACTCACAGAATGGACACAATACTTTGTACCCAAAAGAACAAACTCCGGAATGACACGCTACGAACGCTTTAAACCTCCAGGCTACCACGTCTTCCAACCATGGCGACACATCACCACAATAAACGTTCATCTGTTTTTGAATCCCCAGCCCTAACATACTTTTTTTCTTAGATTGTTTACCAGTACAAAACTATCTCAGCTACAAGTATTGCAACTCTTCACACTAGGTTAGCGAGTTTTCGATAGCCGAAACGCTAAGATAGCTTTGTGAACGTGGTCCTTGTAGTCAATATTATGCGGTGAGAAAACGTGAGGGGAAAGTGAAATATGTACATGGTACTGATGCCTGCTTGGAAAAACCAACACAACATCATGACAATTGAAACTAACATGTTAGTACCTTGCATATTCGTTTACATTCATTTCCTATAGATGGAAATTTACATATATTATATCGTTTATTCAAGTTACCAAACGGTGGCTATATACTGACATATGTTAAAAACGCAACATTCTGATATCTCTTGGTGTCAATGAGTTCATAGATTCAATGTTTCAGTCTGCAAAAAACATACAAGTTTCCGAGTATTTTTCTCATCAATTAAATTGAGGGGCAAAAGAAAGTATTCCGAGTTTGTTTTTTTAATGTAATTGAAAATTGAAAGAAATGTTGTTATAATTGAGTATGTCTATTTAACCATCGCTCTTTCCTGGTAAGTTTGTGGAAAATGGTTCAATGAAGACTGGGGTAAGAAATGAATTCTTCGAGAGCTGACTAAGCGCCAATGCAGTTCATTTATTTTTATATAATATCGCTAACTTAAGATAGTTTCTATTCAAAATCAAACATATAGCATCAACTGAGAGGTATCATTCTTTTGCTGCTCTTAAACTGTATCTAAGTCAGTCAGTTGCGATGGGACCTGCTCGTCATTGTGCTGTTGCTTATGACACTTACAATAAAATGTCGTCTTTCCTGAAATCAGTCAACCAAAATCGATCATTATTTGACATGGACACAGTTGAGAAAAAATAGAGATCAGTTAGTTGGCAGTGAGTTTCAAATATATATTTCAAATCAAATTAATGCCATTTGTTACTTTTCAGATCTGAGTTAATGACGTGTAGCTTCAAGGAGTCTATCATCCTGAAATTATATAGCAGTAGTAGTAGTGTGTGAGTGAGTAAGTAAGTAAGTTTGGTTTAACGTCAGCGTTCCAGTAATATTGCGGCATGTCAGCCTCATGTGGGAGGAAAACCAGAGGTGATGCAGGTCTCAGACATTTACAACTTTGGGTACTGATAAACCCAGACACATAATCAGCGCGAATCGGGAACTCCAGCTCATGATTATGTGTTTCTGGTACGCCAAGGGGACGCAACTCTGCACATTGAGTCCCGGAACCTCAGACGACGGGGCTACCTGCGCTCTCTTGTATTACAACATACATTATCAGGTATCAAATATAATAATATGATACCTGTTATGTTGACGGATGTCCTGAAGCATCAAGTTGGTGTTGCAAGTTAGCATGTACGTCAAAATCGCAAGCAGTTATTGCTTTATGTTCTCGTCTGGGTATAAGTGAGCGAGTATGTTTTTTACGCCGCTTTTAGCAACATTCCTCAACCATCAGGGCCAGGGACACCAGAAAAGGGCTTCATACGAACCCGGGTCTTCGGCGTGAGCAGCGAACGCTTTAACCACGAGGCTACCCCGTCGCCCCCTCGGAGTATCAGTACAGGTAAGAGAACAAAACTGTGACGAAGAATATTTGAAATTGGCCATTCATCAGATCATCGACAACAGCTGATTAATAGAATCGTAAGACATAGTAGATATTTGTAACAGAATGTGGTTCATTTACACATAGTTGGGCGAAAATGTTTTAGTAGTAGTAGTTTTTGGCATTCGGAGATCCTACTAGACACAATAGTAAACAGAACGTACATATCGAAACGCCATTCATAACATTTGGCCATCACGCCTTGTAAGAAACAAACAATATATATTCAACATATTGCTTCACAAATTGCTCTGAAAGAAACTCAGTAGCAAAGATAATACAACTGGTAACAAGTATAAGAATAAGCATTGTAACCATGGCACAGGAATATGTAAAATCGATCAACAAAAACATAGCGCATGACGTCAGAGATGTACCAGTTCAATAAACAATTAAGTAAATAACAACATAGTGTAATAGACGTAAATACCATTTCTGAAACCAATATTGATATTAACTCACCTTGTTTGGTTGTTTTTGAAACTGAATATAAATTGCCAATGCATGAGAATGCATGAGACTTGCCAGTCTTAATTATTCACTGAAACCAATTCCATTTGACGTAAAGGGCAAAATAGCTATGAAAGTTACAAGAATGGACCACCTAAACAAGGAATTTGGTAATTATGGTCTAAATGAATTAAACTGAAATCACTGAAACAAGGAATTTGGTAATAAATGTCTAAATAAATGACTTTACAAATAATGTATACCCGATAATGACAAGTGAACCGTTATCAAAATAATCTTAAAGAAATTTCATGAATACATACGTTCTTCTGCATTAGTGTTCGATGTATGAATTGGATATATCCGACTAGTTATATTACAGCAGCAAAACGCAATACATAAGTTTCGATTCTTTTGCAAGTACTTAAAAAATAGTACACAGGCTCTTTCTGGTATCACTTGGAAACGTTTTTGTCAGAAGTAAATGTCTTGAATAAATCGGAAGTGCCTCTAAGATCTGTCATCCTTATCGCTGAAAGTCTGCAAGAGTAAGTTTCAGAGAAGCAATTACTGACGATCCTTTTATCCGAATAATCAATTTAGTTTTCATCCCGGGAAAATATCCTATTTCACTATTAGCAAATAAAACAGTGGCCTATCATGATAGACATTAAAGAGAAAAGAAATGAATGCTCAAAACCTGAGACTTGAAAGCAGTCGAAATTACATACCAACATATTGCACATCTGTAATCGTATGTCCTATAAGTATACTTAATTCGAAAGATCGCAATGGTTTGCATCAGCTGGTAATTGTCTCTGCATCAACGTGCCATTTGAATTAAGTGTTTTAGAAGGGGATGAAACGGTACAATATGAAAGCATCTCCATGCATATATTGTTGATTCAAGCATGAACGTGTAGTTCATGAGTGCACACGCTGATAGAGAAGTTACATGCCAGTGGTACAAAGGCTACCTATCGATATTAAGAAGAAGGCAAGAAAAGTTCTAACCCTCTACACTAACCTATCCATTGAAAGATATTTGTGAAATAAATAAGACTGTTCCTTAGAAGTGAAACGTGACAAATGTAGAAGAGTGAGACAATTAATACTAATACATTTCAAGTCATAAATATCACTGGTAGAATTCAAGGGTGCGGATATTAAAATCGTGTATGACAAAAGTGTGAAAAAACGTCACCATTTCTTGTGCTGTCACAAGATCCTACACATCGACTGACATATTTAGGGCTAGTACTGGTTTCTGGCTCAAATTAAATCCACATTTCCAAACAAAACTCCAAAATTACGAAATGTAATTCATCGGGGAATGTAGAAGAGTGTGACTGAAAAGTAAAATGACATGGAGGCTTACAGCGATGACGCCATCACTGATTAAACATGTTCAACATGATGAACGTATATCACTCTGCGCATCCGTACGCTTATAGGAGTCGGGTGGCCTTGTATCAATCCATAACATCCCTTGACAAAATTACGGCACACAATGTGATGGTGTAGAAACGTCGGTTGTAATTCCTGCAACTAACCTTTGTTCATATTTGTCGTGACAGCCAACAACGTCCAAAGTAATCTCACATCGCATGGCATATGAAACACTATGACTACTGTATGCTCCAAAGTCAGAAATGCTTTGTCAATAAATCCATACAAAGAAATGAACTAAAGTCTAATGTTGTTCTTTCAATCTGGAGTCACTCAAATATATTGTACCCTGCATTGATAGATCCGTGCGAGATCCTCGAGAGGTCCCGAGAGACCCTTGTCGTCGATGATCAAAGTAACACGGCACTGAAGTTATTCGATTAGATGTTGTTTCTGAAAGGTTCTTGTGCACGTCATTCTCGATTCATTCGTCGTCGCAGAACACAAATTCACGTCGCTACACAATGATGTTTTGGAGGCAATCTGTAACACAATATCATTACAAGCAGGCAATCACGACCTTAATTTCGGAGTCAACCCTGAGAAGATAATGTGTTGCAAATAACCCGTTTCAATCATATTACAGTCCTATGTCCACTGTGGCGATGGTATATATGTTCGTCCTTTGGTGTCTTGTGGGAATCGTTGAATGTACGGTGATGTCGTGTGTACTTTGTTCTGACTTGCAGTGGCATTGTCCGGGACCTTCCGGGCAAATCAGGACAGAAGGAAGAAGAGGACGATAACGACAACGGCAACAAAGAAGAAAAAGCCAAGCCAGACAGATATGGTGAAGCAGGTGACGACTCGGGGGTTGGATTTCGCTTCTGATTCCGACTGAAAGAAACAATAGCATTTATATTAAAATTGGTACATACATTAAATATTTGTGGATCGAAAAGCTCTGTTATTCATCACGCATCATAATGTTTGCTTTGTTTGTTTGTTGTTTAACGCAGCACTCAGCAATATTCCAGCTATATGACGGCGGTCTGTAAATAATCGAGTCTGGATCAGACAATCAAGTGATTGACATCATGAGCATCGATCGCAATTGGAATACGATGACATGCATCAACCAAGTCAGCGAGCCTGACCACCCGATTCCCGTTAGTCGCCTCTTACGACAAGCATGTGTTGCTGAAGACCAATTATTCTAACCCGAGTCTTTGCAGGATGGTACTTTATATGCCACGTTCGTAAAAAGATAATGACAACTATAAAGACGGAGGAGACAGCCTAGCAGCTGTCTTATGACGAAGTACTGACTTAATGTTGAGTGATAAGTGAGTGAGTCGGGTTAAACGCTGATCTATACAGTATCTCAGTTCTGAAACTGAGTATTCGGCTTATCTGCAACTTATTGAAGGGCAACACTTACTCGGCACATAATTATTGTGTGTTTGTTGTTACACGCCTCACTTAGCAATATTCAATCTATATGACGGCGGTCTGTCAATAATCAAGTCTGAACCAGATAATCCAGTGACTGACATCGTGAGCATCAAACTACGCAATTGTGATACGATGACATGCAACAAACAAGTTAGTGAGCCTGACTACTCAATCCCGTTGGTTCCCCCTTACCACAAGCATGTGTTGCTGAAGACCAATTATTCTAAACCGGGTCTTTGCAGGGTGGCACTTTATTGATGAACAGGAGATAATTGGAAACTTAACATTGGACAAGAACCATTTCTGTGACCGTTGGTGTACACGTCCATGTCTTATTAAACACACATGACATTAGGTCTGAACTATCAAGGACTTGAACTACAATACATGTCGTTACCCCGTCCGTACACAATCTGGTTAAGACAATTAGTGATTATACGGTAGTATACGGTATTTCCTCAGTAACTGAACATTGACGATTTCATGGATCCTTCCGTCACGGCGTGAGACATTCTTGATTGTATTTAAGGTTTATACGGATCTGTACATTGAACAAGTGTACTTGGACTTTTTATATGACGTCAGGTGTCGATATATGGAGTGCACTGGATCAATAAAGACACAATAGCCGCTCGATTTAGAACCAACCAGAGACTTGTCCTGAAAGAACTCGTGTCCAGGCTTGTATTACTAAAGAAAAGAAAGTTTTGCTTTACGAGTCGTACCTGGGCCTCTAGACTAACATCTAGACTCTGAAATGAACATATCGTACAGAAAATAACAGTTGTTCACTTATCTTAATGAATATATAATAAAAGGGAGCCCAGTGACTCTTTTTAAACAGTATAGACTTCCACGGGCTGTATTTGATATATATTTGTATCAGGGTCTGTAAGACAGACTACTGGGCCTCGTTCTACAAAGCAATTTAAGAACTACGATCACCGTGACTCTATGTCAATGAAAGGGAGTTACGATCGTATTTGTGCTAAATTCGCTTAGTGCAACGAGCACTGATGATCATTGCATTCAGTTTTATACAACTAACTATGAATATTTCGAGGGTACTGTGTGTGGGTCTTGTTTTACGTCGCGTCTAGCCATATTCCAGCGATATTCACGGTGAGAGAAACAAGAAATTGGCTTTTCATATTGGCTTATCAAAGAAACCGTCAACACCTACGTGTTTTATGTGATTATTTCCAAGTCGACTCCTGAAGATGTCAAAGTGTTTAAAGATCTGTTGTTACAAATATTCCCTTTAATGAGTACCAATATTGACATTTGTAGAAGAATAGTATTCGTATATAGCGAACATCCTATCCTGTGGGTGGGTCAGTTTTCTGCGACGCCACAATTGTCTAAGAGCAAGAATCCGATGAACATGGGTCCGAATCAACTGTTCTCGTGATTCTTGGTTTATCATTATCATCATATACGTTTTCTGTGTAGTCATTCTACAAGGTCTTTCAAACAGCCTGAATATGTGATGACTGATTAAAGTTTTGATGTAACCGTCATTGCATCGTTAGCCAAAATTGGATTGCCCTGTTATTGAATTGTATAGCTTCTAATGTTTATTTGGATGAATTATATATGAGTTATGAATTTTATATTTAAGCAAAAACCAGTTACTTACAGATTTACATGTTCATGATGTAAATCACTGGATTGTCTGGTCCAGATTCGATTATTTACAGACCGCCGTCATATAGCTGGAATATTGCTGAGTGCGGCGTAAAACAACAAACCAAACCAAACCAAAACATATCTATCACACATAAGTCATACTACCGGTCCGCGACAATTTACCCTTCAGTCCTGAAACCAGGAATTCCGTGCAAACTATTAGGAACGCCTACTGTATAACTAGAGGTTCACTTCTTCGCAACTACCACTGGAATAGCACCGACTGGATTGTGTATTTCGCTTGATCTATTGACTAACTATTTGTTAAAATAGTATTAAATTCAAAACTGACAGTGCTGTTTGAGGATATATTGCATATCATTGCATTCCTCTTCTAAAGCCTGACAAACATTGATAACATGTGACTATCACATAGACATATTGATTGCCCATAGAATAACTCCGGAAAGAAAAACTCGTCAAAGTTAATTGTTTTCAGAATAAACAGACCGGTTGTGTTTATGTGACGTTCCAGTCAGAATTTTCAGCTCATTTCTCAGCCCTAGGAGACTGGTCGTCCTGCGAAACACAGACACTATGCCGTTCACCACGTCCACGGTGACCACGTTGGCGTCTGTAGACTCATCTTCATTACGTACAGTCCACACAAAACGTGCTCAAGCTGATTTGTACAGCATGGCTATCATGTCAATTCAGGCCTCTTGCATACAATAGGTGCTTATTCAAAATTAAATAGGAAGTTATTTCTATACCAAACAGGACAATAATGACAGCTTCATCAAATGGAAAGCAAATTGCAAAAATGATTTTTTATAGATTGTGTTCAAAAGGTATGTTGTAGTTTAATCACTCTAATATGCATGGACTTTTGTTATGTACCACTCAAACGGACCACCCGATTCTTTCCCATTACCACTGTTAATCTTTCATGCCATGGCAGCTGAATGAATATGAAAGAATCGGGGTCCTTAACATCTTTTGTGTAGTATAAGATCCGCATACTAAACAATAATAATGCCCTTTATCATACTCGATTGTAATCAGTGCCATAAACCAGTCCGCTTTATTTAGCATCACGATCCGATAGATATGCAATTGAGGTCAACTTGTAGGAACTACTTAACTAAGCTCCTTACATCAAAGTGAGACGGTTTACTCAGGTGTCGTATTCCTACACCGTTTCTAAAATTACTTTCGTGAATGAAATATGTCTTAAATTTCGGTTATTCTAAGACTGCATTACATGATAGAGATTATTCGCATCATGCAGTTTTGTATCGTACATATCAAGGGAATCAAATGTGTGTATAATGCTCAAAAAAGGCACTTATAATATGCCGTTCCTCCTGCAACAAAGTGACACGCAGTGAAATAAGTTAAATACTTAAACCAGCGTTAAACCCAAATCAATTACTGAGATCAACACAAGGACACAATTCTCATACTCACATAACTGTCCCCAATGCCTCGTATAGCGATGACCTTCCCGTTCCTCCAACAGTAACGAACTTCATCCTCCTGGCTCACCTTCTTCCCATTCCTCTTCTTCTGAATCTTTCCATTTTTCCAGAAATATTTAAGTTTTGATTTCGTCTCCCCACTTGATGTCTTGCTCCCTGTTTCCTCAAGCCCGGTGGAGTCCGTCCTGGACGAAGAAGGGACATCCAACAGAAGGTCAGCGGTTGTCTCCCCGCTGTTCGACCCCCGGCTGATGGCGGAGGACCGGTGTGTCCCTCCATTGTCCGAGTCGTGGGGTCGACTCTCATCATGGATGTCTTCCAGGGAGCTGATAAGGGGGGTCTGTGTAGGCTCCACGGTGGAGCGTGACCAGTTACACGATTCGGCACTGGGGAATGTTGTCACATGCTCAAATGAAAACTTGGGGTAGTTAAGTGCTTCGTTGTACGTCGGTGGAGATTGTTGAGTGGCGGGTCCTGCAAAGAGATAAAACTACAGTTGGATATCTCAAGTAATAACAATATTCATATCTTCAAAAAAAACAAATTTAAGACGATGAAGTCTTGGGGCTGGCACATTCGTATCTGTCACAAGCAAAGGTACGCACACAGAAACTACACCTGAATCACTGTAAAGTTACAGCGATGACACCAGGTGTTCATTCTTACCAGAAAACCTCAAGTGCACACATGTAATCTGCTCATTCAAACACCTATACATAATTATGATTAATTGAAATGTGGTGTAGAGTGAAGGGGTCGGATTTTGCGTGGACGCGCATGACCTTCTGTAGCACATGTCAACTCACCAACGAATATAGATTAATGTCAAAGGAATAGTTTTACTGACGTAAATCTTGGATAATGAGGCTGACTGCGCGTCGAGTCTCTAGTTCGGAATCGATCACCTGATTAGCAACATAGATACTGGTCGTAAGTCATCTTCCTTGGGTAAGGTTTCCCCCGTGTCATTCCAGAGACGATGGGTGCTGTAGAAATGTCGCGATCTGGAAACACATTCCAAACTCGGCCACTAGAGCCAACTTTATCAACAAACCGTTTACTCTCAAGCAGAAGGACCACGTACTCACTCCTAACTGTATACAGGACAAGCACGTGGACAAGGTACTCACTCCTAACTCTACACAAGACAAGCACGTGGACCAAGTACTCACTCCTAACTGTATACAAGACAAGCACGTGGACCAAGTACTCACTCCTAACTCTATACAAGACAAGCACGTGGACCAAGTTCTCACTCCTAACCCTATACAAGACAAGCACGTGGACCAAGTACTCACTCCTTACTCTATACAAGACAAGCATGTAGACCAGATACTCTCTCCTAACTGTATACAAGACAAGCACGTGGACCAAGTACTTACTCCTAACTGTATACAAGACAAGCACGTGGACCAAGTACTCACTCCTAACCCTATACAAGACAAGCACGTGGACCAAGTACTCACTCCTAACTGTATACAAGACAAGCACGTGGACCAAGTACTCACTCCTAACCCTATACAAGACAAGCACGTGGACCAAGTACTCACTCCTAACCCTATACAAGACAAGCACGTGGACCAAGTACTCACTCCTAACCCTATACAAGACAAGCACGTGGACCAAGTACTCACTCCTAACCCTATACAAGACAAGCACGTGGACCAAGTACTCACTCCTAACTGTATACAAGACAAGCACGTGGACCAAGTACTCACTCCTAACCCTATACAAGACAAGCACGTGGACCAAGTACTCACTCCTAACCCTATACAAGACAAGCACGTGGACCAAGTACTCACTCCTAACCCTATACAAGACAAGCACGTGGACCAAGTACTTACTCCTAACTGTATACAAGACAAGCACGTGGACCAAGTACTCACTCCTAACCCTATACAAGACAAGCACGTGGACCAAGTACTCACTCCTAACTGTATACAAGACAAGCACGTGGACCAAGTACTCACTCCTAACCCTATACAAGACAAGCACGTGGACCAAGTACTCACTCCTAACCCTATACAAGACAAGCACGTGGACCAAGTACTCACTCCTAACCCTATACAAGACAAGCACGTGGACCAAGTACTCACTCCTAACCCTATACAAGACAAGCACGTGGACCAAGTACTCACTCCTAACTGTATACAAGACAAGCACGTGGACCAAGTACTCACTCCTAACCCTATACAAGACAAGCACGTGGACCAAGTACTCACTCCTAACCCTATACAAGACAAGCACGTGGACCAAGTACTCACTCCTAACTGTATACAAGACAAGCACGTGGACCAAGTACTTACTCCTAACTCTATACAAGACAAGCACGTGGACCAAGTACTCACTCCTTACTCTATACAAGACAAGCACGTGGACCAAGTACTCACTCCTTACTCTATACAAGACAAGCACGTGGACCAAGTACTCACTCCTAACCCTATACAAGACAAGCACGTGGACCAAGTACTCACTCCTAACCCTATACAAGACAAGCACGTGGACCAAGTACTCACTCCTAACCCTATACAAGACAAGCACGTGGACCAAGTACTCACTCCTAACTGTATACAAGACAAGCACGTGGACCAAGTACTCACTCCTAACCCTATACAAGACAAGCACGTGGACCAAGTACTCACTCCTAACCCTATACAAGACAAGCACGTGGACCAAGTACTCACTCCTAACCCTATACAAGACAAGCACGTGGACCAAGTACTTACTCCTAACTCTATACAAGACAAGCACGTGGACCAAGTACTCACTCCTAACCCTATACAAGACAAGCACGTGGACCAAGTACTCACTCCTAACTCTATACAAGACAAGCACGTGGACCAAGTACTCACTCCTAACTCTATACAAGACAAGCACGTGGACCAAGTACTCACTCCTAACTCTATACAAGACAAGCACGTGGACCAAGTACTTACGCCTAACTGTATACAAGACAAGCACGTGGACCAAGTACTCACTCCTAACTGTATACAAGACAAGCACGTGGACCAAGTACTTACTCCTAACTCTATACAAGACAAGCACGTGGACCAAGTACTCACTCCTAACCCTATACAAGACAAGCACGTGGACCAAGTACTCACTCCTAACTCTATACAAGACAAGCACGTGGACCAAGTACTCACTCCTAACTCTATACAAGACAAGCACGTGGACCAAGTACTTACTCCTAACTGTATACAAGACAAGCACGTGGACCAAGTACTCACTCCTTACTCTATACAAGACAAGCATGTAGACCAGATACTCTCTCCTAACTGTATACAAGACAAGCACGTGGACCAAGTACTCACTCCTAACTCTATACAAGACAAGCACGTGGACCAAGTACTTACTCCTAACTGTATACAAGACAAGCACGTGGACCAAGTACTCACTCCTTACTCTATACAAGACAAGCACGTGGACCAAGTACTCACTCCTAACTGTATACAAGACAAGCACGTGGACCAAGTACTCACTCCTAACTGTATACAAGACAAGCACGTGGACCAAGTACTCACTCCTAACTGTATACAAGACAAGCACGTGGACCAAGTACTTACTCCTAACTCTATACAAGACAAGCACGTGGACCAAGTACTCACTCCTAACCCTATACAAGACAAGCACGTGGACCAAGTACTCACTCCTAACCCTATACAAGACAAGCACGTGGACCAAGTACTTACTCCTTACTCTATACAAGACAAGCACGTGGACCAAGTACTCACTCCTAACTGTATACAAGACAAGCACGTGTACCAAGTACTTACTCCTAACCCTATACAAGACAAGCACGTGGACCAAGTACTCACTCCTTACTCTATACAAGACAAGCACGTGGACCAAGTACTTACTCCTTACTCTATACAAGACAAGCACGTGGACCAAGTACTCACTCCTAACCCTATACAAGACAAGCACGTGGACCAAGTACTTACTCCTAACTGTATACAAGACAAGCACGTGGACCAAGTACTCACTCCTAACTGTATACAAGACAAGCACGTGGACCAAGTACTCACTCCTAACTGTATACAAGACAAGCACGTGGACCAAGTACTCACTCCTAACTGTATACAAGACAAGCACGTGGACCAAGTACTTACTCCTAACTCTATACAAGACAAGCACGTGGACCAAGTACTCACTCCTAACCCTATACAAGACAAGCACGTGGACCAAGTACTCACTCCTAACTCTATACAAGACAAGCACGTGGACCAAGTACTCACTCCTTACTCTATACAAGACAAGCACGTGGACCAAGTACTCACTCCTAACTGTATACAAGACAAGCACGTGGACCAAGTACTTACTCCTAACTGTATACAAGACAAGCACGTGGACCAAGTACTTACTCCTAACTGTATACAAGACAAGCACGTGGACCAAGTACTCACTCCTAACTCTATACAAGACAAGCACGTGGACCAAGTACTTACTCCTAACTGTATACAAGACAAGCACGTGGACCAAGTACTCACTCCTAACTGTATACAAGACAAGCACGTGGACCAAGTACTCACTCCTAACTGTATACAAGACAAGCACGTGGACCAAGTACTCACTCCTAACCCTATACAAGACAAGCACGTGGACCAAGTACTTACTCCTAACTGTATACAAGACAAGCACGTGGACCAAGTACTCACTCCTAACTGTATACAAGACAAGCACGTGGACCAAGTACTCACTCCTAACCCTATACAAGACAAGCACGTGGACCAAGTACTTACTCCTTACTCTATACAAGACAAGCACGTGGACCAAGTACTCACTCCTAACCCTATACAAGACAAGCACGTGGACCAAGTACTCACTCCTAACCCTATACAAGACAAGCACGTGGACCAAGTACTCACTCCTAACCCTATACAAGACAAGCACGTGGACCAAGTACTCACTCCTAACCCTATACAAGACAAGCACGTGGACCAAGTACTCACTCCTAACCCTATACAAGACAAGCACGTGGACCAAGTACTTACTCCTAACTGTATACAAGACAAGCACGTGGACCAAGTACTCACTCCTAACCCTATACAAGACAAGCACGTGGACCAAGTACTCACTCCTAACCCTATACAAGACAAGCACGTGGACCAAGTACTTACTCCTAACTGTATACAAGACAAGCACGTGGACCAAGTACTCACTCCTAACCCTATACAAGACAAGCACGTGGACCAAGTACTCACTCCTAACCCTATACAAGACAAGCACGTGGACCAAGTACTCACTCCTAACTGTATACAAGACAAGCACGTGGACCAAGTACTTACTCCTAACTGTATACAAGACAAGCACGTGGACCAAGTACTCACTCCTAACCCTATACAAGACAAGCACGTGGACCAAGTACTCACTCCTAACCCTATACAAGACAAGCACGTGGACCAAGTACTCACTCCTTACTCTATACAAGACAAGCACGTGGACCAAGTACTCACTCCTAACTGTATACAAGA